ATTAACTGGTTCAGGTGTGTTTGGGTTGGACCTAAACTCTGCAGGACTCTGAGTTTGGAGACCCCTAATTGATCTCATTAATCCCTGTGTTTAAAAACCCTGAGTTCTCCCTATGGTCTCTGTCCTGTCAATGTGTCTGTGTTATCGCCTGAGTATCTCCTGTGAGTTTGTTTATTAAAATTTACCCTTTATAATCTTTTATGGGTTAGGTTAGGGTGAGTGTTTATGCACGATATGTGACACATACAGTCTAAGCAAGAATGTTATGAAGCCTTTCCCTGAAGGCACAGCTTCAATGAGTTGGGCACACATCCATGTGGAGCATGCATTTGGGCGCCTTAAGGCAGATGGCGGATTCTAATGAAAAGAAATGACTCACGGACAAGCAGCATATAATACATTGTCACAGCATGTATTGTGCTACACAACTTCTGTGAGAACTTCAATCTACACTCTCAGTGGAGAGTTTTGAAAAACCTGAGCAGCCACAGGTATTCAAACTCCACTCCATGAAGTCAACGAGGGAGAACGCATCTGCATTTATTAATCAGTTGTAATAAGAACACTGACAAGAAATCCAGCACAACGAAATGCCAAAGTGATCAAAACAATTCAGGAATACCTCCTGACAACATTCACCAAGTTCTGAAAACAAAAGTTATGTTACTGGGCAGCCATAATGACAAAAGTTCTTCCATGTACTTTCAGGCATCTGATCCTTTGTAAATGTGTGCTTGTACAGGTTGAGTAAGGTTAACAGGTTGAACAGGTTAGTAATTTTGCAACATTTTGCTGCTTCTTCTGGCCGCTTCCTTGAGTCCCGTGCATTAATTACTCAGTTCAAAACTGTTTGACGGAAGTGCGGATCAGACATGAGCGCTGCCAGTCAGGACTCACTGATTCATGATTTACTATTATTATATTTATTATTATTATAGTGCTGCGTTCAACACTATAGATCAGTGGTCTTCACTATTTTTTTCATGGGAGCCGCACTGATAGGGCAAAGTCAATCGGAGAGTCACTTTTACCGCGAAGTAACAAAAGTTACATCCAGTCATAAATAGCATGTCTTTTTATCAATCTGTCATATGCAATGCAATGCAATACAAAAGGGGCTATCATTCTTTATCATTTACCAGTCAAATTTGTAACTGAGACAAGATTATTTAAAAAAAAAACGCAGGATTACCTTAACGCTGGAAAGACCTTAAGTTATTAAATTTTTTTACACTGGCCCATCATGTATCTAACCATGCAAGTGCACATTTGGTGTTAAGAGCTGTTAAGATTAAAACTGGCAACTCCGCAGTGAGTCAGTGTCATGGACGTAGGACAGAGCAAGTGTAAATATCTTTTCTAGTCTATATTTCCATCTTGTAATGCCGCTGTTTTAGGTATTTTAAAATATATATATATATAAATGATTTGTAATAGAGCAGACACTGTCTGACCGTGTCTACACCAGATGCGACAGTTGTCGTGCCATGCGCCCTGCTGCGCTAAAAGTCTGTTTACACTTGACGCGACAAAGCGACAGTTGCAAATCATTTGAACGTAGTGTCAGTACAGTTCATCATAAATAGAACGAGGCATCAGTTTACTGATGGGGATCGTGTCGCATCGCATCCAGTGTAGACAACATCACTGGGTTCTATTGTCTTTTGTCGGATCGCGCCACTCGCGTCCGGTGTAGACATGGTGTGTTTTTTTTATGGGTTATGTTATAGCCCTGCTTTTTTAATGTTTTTATGAAATATCTGTATATCTTAAATTGGTCGTACTGCTACCTTTGCTTTACCTCTGATGCCGCAAAACCGAACCAATTCCAAATTACGGATGACACTGTGGCTTTCTTGGGAACGAGTTCTTCTCTGCTTGCTGCCATGTTGTTTGTGTATCTTTATGGCAAATGCGCGGGGGGAGGGCTGAGCCCATTCGGAACTCATAGATCGATTACAAAACTATACAGGTATTCAAGGGCAGGCTTTAAGATGGTTTAGATTCTACCTGTCTGATTACTACCACTTTGTTCATTTAAATGGGGAGTCATCTCAGTGATCACCAGTAAAATATGGAGTGCCACAAGGATCTGTCTTAGGTCCTCTGCTATTTTCAATATTAAATATTGTAGAAACTTAATTTGCTGTAAAGTTGCTTTGCAATGATTTGTACCGTGAAAAGCGCTATACAAATAAACTTGAATTGAACTTGAATTGAAAACTTGAATTTATTATTCGGAAATTATCACTTTGGCAGGCAATAATAAAAAACAATGATAATAAAAAAAAAAATAAAAATACAGGGCCAAATCAGCCATCAGCACTCCTGATGGCCAGTCCGGCCCTGATATAAAGTAAATAACTAAATGAAAATTATCGATGCATGGGCCCAAAGTTGGCTATCTATATGCACAGGGATTTCTCCCACAGTGCTCCCCATGATCAGTCTGGGCCCGTCACCTATAATGACAATATGTTAGATCAAATTATAATTTAATTTGATGTAAAATGTATTACATTTTTTACATTTTGTAGGTTTATGTAGCTGATCATCTTGTTGATTTAACAATTTTTGACATTTTACTATGCTTTTATGTTCTTTAGTTTGTTAATTTTGCTATTATCTTTCACTTGCTGTTATACTTTTGTCACGATCACCAGTCAACAAGCCTGTCACCTCTGCACACTACATCTCCCACGATTCTCCTCAGCCATCACCTGCACTCACTTCACAATTACAACACCTGCTTGCCATTGCCATGGTTTACTTGCCTGTGTTACTTCCCTGTTCTCCCTTTATCAGTGTTCATTCCTCCCTCCTTAGATCCCCGTTTCCTCCAGATCGTCTGGTTACTGTCTGCAAAGATAAGAGACATTATTCATATCTAGTGTAACACTGATTTAATGGTGTGTGTGGTGATACTTACCTCTCTGGACTGTCTTCATCATTCTTCCTCTGTTCTGGTTGTTGTTGTATATATTCCTTAAACATTATTATTCACCTACTTGTAAAAAAAGTCACTCACTTTTACTCCCCTGTGCCATCGAGTCTGTGTTCTGTGACAACTTTCTTAGTATTTGCTGCTTTGTTAAAATTATAAATAAATAAATGGCAACACTTTACAATTAGGTTCCATTTGGTGACATTTGACTACATAAACTAATAATGAAAAACACTTCTAAAGCATGTATTAATCTTAGGGTGTTTTCACACCTAGTTTGTTTGAGCACTCCAAACGCTCTCAAAGCAGTTCAGCTTGTATATGTGAACAAACCATGTGATTTCAGAGTTCCTTAAAAGACCTCCTGAGGTGGTCCGATTACGGTTTGCTTTTGAGTCCTTTTGTGGTTCGATTTCCTCGTGATTTGTGAAAGCAATGAGGTCCCGGTCCGCTTTGCGCTTTTTTTTTTTTTGTTTGTTTTTTTTGTGGACCAACATTACATCATAAGTAATGCTTGAAATTGAGTCAAAAAGTTTTTTTTTTTTTTAAGTATATGTATAGTTTATGATGATTATTATTATTATATTATTTGCAGGTGTAATCTTCAGACGTTTCAGCCTGTTGTTAAATTTTTCAAATAATTAACTCTTACAATACAAAACAAATTTGTTGTCATTTTTGTAATGTACGGCTAGTTGTGCATTAAACAAGTTTAATGCACGACATGGAGGCAAAGAAGCACCCGACGCGCTTCAAATCAGACACAGAGATGAAGTAGTGCGGCAAGATCACATTTATTTAAATGCATGAATTTAAAAAGCATTGATTTAAAATAACTGTCAGATGATAGAAAGAGATGACAGTTGTGTGTGTGAATTACCTGCGTCTGTGCGTTTCTCTCTACAAACTGTGAAGCTGTGAGTTTAGTTACTTCAAAAACAGTTTTTTTTTTATACCTCTTTGCTAAGAAATATGATGTAGCGATTAAGTATCTAAGCTATTTATTAATAAAAGTCGCGGGGCAGCATTGACAAGTTTCTGTGCTCTTGAATGTTTCTGTGTGCCAGAGGTGTGTGTGTGTGTCAATAAAAGCAGCGCATTAATATAGAACGGTGATTAAACTGACTTGAACCTGTGCACGCTTTTAATGTACACCTGCCAGCCAATCAGAATCAAGTATTCAGACAGGCCATGGTATAATATTATAGAATTCTTTAGCAAAACTAAAATAATAATCCCTGAAAGTGAACAATGAAATACAGCTTATTGTGAACTTAAAAAAAAGTTAGGAATAAAGAAACATTTTACAACTGTCACTATCTTATCTGAGAAAAAGGGAGTTGAATTAACTTTATACATATTGTTACCTTTTAATTTTAAATTTGACTGAAATGCTAAAGCTCTTCCTCACCCCCTTCCGTGTCCACGTCATCTTCCATAATTTCCAGTAGGTCAGACTATATGTGAAAACAGTCTTAGTTATTGCTGATTCCAACATTGACTAGTACCTTATTAAAATCAAAAGTTGCATCTATTAATGTTATTTAATGCACCTGAGCTAACATGGACTAACAATGAATAGTTGTATCTTTTTTTATTAACTAATATTAACAAAGATGAATAACTTCTGTAACATTGTATTGCTCACTGCTAATGTTAATTAATGCATTAAATACAGTTAACAAATGGAACCATATTATAATGTTTACAGTTAATAAATAAATATTTAATATTTATACAAATTTAAATAAGTATTTTCCTGAAGAGAAAATTAATTGGTATAGAGGTTTGGAACAAAATGATTAAATGACAGTCATTTTTGGGTGAACTATCTCTTTAAAATGGTTTATGTAGACCTATAAATTCCTTGTAATTCCTTATTAAACGCCCCCCTATTATTAACTTCCAAGTAAATTACGTATTATTAACTTCCAAGTAAATTACATAAGCTGAAGTTTCTGGTTACAGAAATGTTACCCCCTCATGTTCTCATGAAGGCACACCTGTTTTGAAAGGCTATAAAATGAGCACTGAAACAGGCACGTTATTTGATTCACCTCCTGATCAAAGATGGATCTACAGATCTCAGTTTTTCTTCTGTTCTTGCTTTTCACTGCAGGTACAAAGACAAATCATGTTTGTAATGTTGCTGGATACAAATACAGATCACATATGTGTCTCTCTCACCATCTCTGTCTTTTATTACTATAGGACAATCTCTCAACTGTTATAAGTGCACGGATCTGATAGTTTCTTGTGCAGATCAAAAGGTACAAACATGTCCCAGTGGATCTTACAAGTGCATGACTCTAACAACAGTGTCACAACTTGGTAAGTCCAATATGATGGATTGAAATGTACTGTTATAATTGACTGATTCAATGGAAATGTAGCTTCTCACAGCTGCTATATGTAACTTCTGCTATAGGTAAATAACTAGCATAACAAAGTGTAGTAAACAGTCGAAGTATTTGAGCTACAAAGTATGTTTATGATTATGACAATACATTAAATTAATATAAGAAATATGAAATATCAAGTAGTGTAACAGAATGTTTTTGTACGGCTAAAATAACTGGAAGTGGGTTCAGGTTACAAAGAACCACGCTTGCTCTGGATATTTGATCTATTCACATAACTGCAAATGTTGGAATTGTTTCAACATCCTATTAAATGAAAGTTTGTCTTTTTTGCAGGTGCCAGTAAGTTGACCACCAAAACTAAAGAGTGTGCACCTGAAACTGACTGTAAACCTGGGACCCATCAGACACTAGCTGGGACGGTATCTGTCCAGTGCTGTGACACTGACCTTTGCAATGCAGCAGGTATTGCCCTTTATTTGACCATGTCTGACCATTTTGCCACAGTGACTTACAATAAAGAAATAATACAAACAATAATACTAAAAACACAAGTGACTGCTCAAAGTAGCATAATATCGGATTTCAAGAGTAGTGCTGAATAATAAGGGAGAAACTTATTAGTCTAGTGCATTCAGTTTTTTTTAATTGCTTTTAGAAAACTGTAATTAAATTTGTCTCCAGTGAATAAGCATTTTAATATCAGTAGTAGTAGCGTTCATTAACAGTAGTTTCCTTATTGTCTTGATTAGATGGCATGTATAAGGGAAGCTTCCTCCTGCTGTCGTCTCCTCTGTTCTTCTACATCCTGTTTCAGTGATTCCAGCTGCACTTCAGATTCTACCGCTGCAGCAAAAACTGAATGTCACACACATTTCTATTCATACTTTACTGAACAAAATGTGTGCATGTTGTTCTGCTGTTTTATTTAGTATCATGATTTGAGGAAAATAAACTCTGTATTTTATTAAACAGTTATTAAACAAAATCCTGCATCAACTCTTTAATAAATAAATAATTATTAAAAAAAAAAACACTTTATATAATAATGAGTTTGCAACATCTGCAGTCATTTTGTACAATAATATTACCCGCAATCGAGACGATGTATTTCCTTTATTTCTTTTTTCCCTTCCTTTTCATTTTTAAAAATGTATTCTCTCTCTCTTCATAATAAAAAGTTATAATAGAATGCAATGAAGAAAAAACGAGTGCTAAACTGCTGTAATAAAATCATTACATATTAAATGTATTTCTCAGTTATTTTCTTTAATTTGTGTTTTTGTTTTTTTTTTTTGGTTGTTCAAGGTCCAGTAATGTTTGACACCAAAACAACAGTGTTGCCAAACCCCTCCCTCAGAGGGGTTCATCTCCAGAACCACCCTCAAAAGTCTCCATCTTTTTTCACAAAAAGTCGCCAAATATGAAAACAAAGTAAATACAGGTAAATTTGGTAAAGGTAAAGGAAAGTAAATATATATTTATGTGTTTTATGTGTCACCAAAGTGCATCCCTGTCCTGCTCAAATACAACAGATAAGAGATATTATGATTCTCCAAAAACAAAAACTTTATTCATACAAACTTATTTCAGTCAACACACTCTATTACTACAAAGTAAGTGCAAAATACTGCATCCCAGCACACATGACACGATGATGCACTGTGTCTCTCTCTCAGTATCTGGTTGACATGACTGTGCATGAATTGTGGTATAACTTTTGTGTCCGTGGTTAAAACAAGATGTTCATTTTTTCTTCGGCATCTTGATTGATGCTTATAATGAAATTGTGGTGTGCGTCATGGCAGGCGTGGCGTGCTGGTGTGTGCTGCGCAGACTCATTGGCATGATTGAGAGCAAACGTGAGCGGTCATGGGCCTACGGCAGGGTGTGGCCAAGTAAAAAATAAAAAATCGCTAGTTTTATTTAAATATAGCTAAAATAGCTCCTTGTCGCAAAAAATACAAAAAGTTGCAGCTACAATGAGAAAGTAGCTAAATTTGGCGACAAAATCCCCAAATTGGCAACACTGCCAAACAAACACACCTCTCCCTTCATTGCTCCGCCCCCAAATTAAAACACACACTATGCAACTCAGACACTAGGGCTGCGTCTGAAAGCTCTAAAATGCTGCCTTCGGAGACAGCATTGCAAGGCATCAAGGCTCGTCCGAATCCAAATTCTGCTTTACTTCCTGTCTCTGGAGGTACCTTCTTCTGATCGAATTTTGAAGGCAGCATAGATGTATCCTTCGCTGCCTTTGATATCCCACAATCCCGTGCGTTCCATTCCGTGACGGTTGAGCTAAAATATAAAGATGGTGTCTGAAAGTTGCGTTTGGTGATCAGTTTGTGTAAATGTATATTTCTGACTACCTTTTTGCACTTTTGATGATATTTCTAGCGAGAAATCAGTATTATAGTAATTAAATATTCATTTAGTTACCACCAAAACTCGTTCTATTTTGTTGTAGATCATTAAACCGTTACGCTGCCTCAGAAGCCTGTTCGAAATCAGTTTCATGAGGTGCCTTCGTGCAAAAACGCTGCCTGCAAAGTCAATGCCTCATACGGCAGCGAGGCAGCAAGTCAGCTGCCTAAGTTTTCGGATGCAGCCAGAGAGTCGAAGCCGAACCGCGTCCAGACTGACCTAAACAGCCGCACAGCGAACTGAACCCGCCTTCAGTCCCGGTGTGTTCAACTTCATGCGGCGCCACAAATATCGACTGCCGTCTGTCAAAAGCAATGCATTCTGGTTAGAAAATTCGTCCGACTTTGATCGGCGCTGTAGCCGCCTTACGATCACATGTGCCATCAAAGTACCGCGAGAGCAAAACGAGACCAACCGCCGAGGTCAGGCGCTGCAGTTGCTCAAAATCGGCTGCGAAAGACTTGATGACGACACACTTTATTCTCATTGGTCAAATTCTGTGATGACAAGCACGATGTGTTGTTGTGTGTTTATTCTAACAATTCAATTCCAATAATGCACACAAATCTGTTTTTATAACAGTAAAAGCATTTAGTGTAGTCGCACTGTTATCTTGAGACATGTAAAAAAAAAAAAACACATAAAATACCCCCACTTTACTGGTATTTAAATAGTATATGTTAACTTTATGTGAACTTTATTCATGAACAGATGGCGCTGTATCAAGCTGTATATAAAAAGTGTCTGTTGCTCATGAAAACGTTTCTGAAACATCTATGTATTTGACACATATTGCATTTAATTCACTTCATCTGTGATAGAGTATGCAAACACCGTGAGAGCGCCACTACCGGGAGCAGAAAGTGTCCGACTTGACGTCTCCGCTTTTAATTCCACCCCGACTGCAAGTGACTACTCTCGCCAGCCAGTGGCAGGCTAGTGTAATTCATCTCGAACAAGCCTAATGACTAACAGTCCAAACTGTCCTGTTACTATAGATCAGGGGTTCTCAAAGTCTACATTCAAAGGTCCAAATCTGAATTTTCATCAGTGTCAAAGGTCCGGACTGGAACAATTGGTTATTACAAAACTTGTTTTTTATAAACATACATAACATGCATAACAAATAAACACTTATTTAAAAAAAAATAATAAAGTGCATTCAAAATACATTAATTGTTTTGCCACTTTTGCAATTGTTATTAATTTAAGTGTTAACTGTGAACACTTGCTCACTCTCTTTCCTCCCCATCATGAGCGTAAGCGCCCTCTACTGCTGGCTACAAGAGTGTTGTGCGAATCAATCCATTGGTAAATCTGATATGATGGAGACTGAGGTCTCTGCAGAGCAAAAGTGGGTGTTTCTGACGTTGTGGGTGTTTTCAAACTGATGGGTGTTTCTAAATGATAATGATCCTGCTTACCTAATACCCCCCCTAAACCTACGCATCATTATGACGTCAGCCAATCAGGTAACATGGTCAAAAACACCCCGATCTGTTAACGCCCATTACTTTCATGCATAGACTTGGTATGATGTGAAAATCTACTGAAAGTATCCAATTTATTTTGCAAAGCCGAAGTTTGCTATTTGCAGTAAATGACTTCCAATTCATTAGCCTCTATAGGTAAATAAATAAAGTGTAGCAAATAGTAAAACTATTTGTGCAACAAAAATGTGTATTTATGATTATGATAATAAATTATAATAAAATGTCCTAGGTGATTGTAACCCTTCTCTGAACTTTTCAAGTCCCATGTGCAGTTTGGTTGAATGAAAAAATGTACTTTATCTCTTTAATTTATTGCTGTTGAAGTGAATGTATGAAGCAAACTCTCTGCTGAAATAACCACAACATGAACATTAACTTATGCACTCATCTGACAGTCAGATGTGCATGGAAATTGCATCGCTACAGTTTAGTGACCGTAGTTTAGGATTAGTTGGGAAGTGCATAGCTAATATTCTAGGGTAGTTAACCCTTTAGGCGCCAGGGTTTTTTGTAAAAATGCTGGATTTTGACATCAAGATTTCAAAAGCTTATGGCTTGAAAGGGCTTAAAGATAGAGATTTACTGTAAATTAGAAAAATGTTGGGCATGGCCGAAAGTTTATGTGTGTAAATATACTAATCTAATTTGCATATTATGACGTCATCAGGGGGCAGCCCTCTTGAATGTCATAATATTCAGGAAAAAATTTATATTGAACTAATGTTTTAACTTATTTGCATGTTTTTTTTTTGTCTTTTTATCCTCATTCCAAATGATCAGAAAAGAGGAAACCAACAATAAAACAGGAGAAAGTACTAAATTATTACTATATTACTATACTATATAGTAGTAAAACGCATGTGAACAGTAGCCTACTTTTTGATCAGTTCATCAGTAATATTCAGGAAATAATAGATATTGCCCTGCCACCCCCATCCCTGTTGGGCAAAGGATCGAAATGATCACTTGGTTGTGCTTCGTGAACACTCTCGCCTTTTACGGCGGCACCATTGCGCTGCAAAGATGTACCGGGAGAAGCGCGATTATTAGACGACCGATCGTCATTTCCAAAAGGCAAATATTCCCCTTCAGAGTTAGAATCGGCGAATAACATTTGCAACACATCCTCACGGTACAACTTTTTATTAGCCATTTGGCGATTTTTCTCTCGCAAATCTCACAGCTTAGCCGCACGGTATGAACTGAACTGCTTCCGCATCAATGACACGATAGCTCACTTGCTCTGCTCTTTCCTCAAACACTTTGAATAGGAACGTGACGTAATTTTGGTCTAGAATCGAAGTACTACATGTCTGCCATCTAGTGGTAGGGAATACAAATGAGATATTACACCATATTAGGAACTACAGTCTATTTGATTAAGTATGACGTCTTGTCGCAATTTTGCGACTTTGGCACTTAGAGGGTTAATGATAGAAGAATGTTAGATCTCTATTGTGTTTGTACATAGTCCTGGCTGTATAAATAGGCGAAAAAACAATGTGGATTGGACCGATCACACTGAGCAGCCCGACACTCTTGTAGCCAATCAGCAATAGAGGGCATTAACACTCATGATGCGGAGGAGAGAGACTGAGCAAGGGGAGATTTGTAGAAAGACTGTAGAAAGAGCAATGCCTGAGTAAATGTCAGAGAACTCGTTTAAAAGCACAATGTAACATTTTCATAAAATATCCAAAAACCACTTGCACAGTGTTATACTCCTTCTGCTCTCCTGGACAAATAAGGATTTTTCAAACTCTGCTGCTCTGTGTTTCACGGAAACCTGGCTGAAAGACGCCATTCCGGACAGCGCGTTGAGTCTCCCGGGCTTTCAGCTGTTCAGAGCGGATCGTGACGCAGAATCAACGAGGAAATCACGCGGCGGCGGGACATGCGTTTACATCAATGAGAGGTGGTGTACAGATGTAACTGTGTTAAAGAAGATTGATCAGATCACAGACACAGAACAACAACACCCGGACTCTGTTTTAATAATTCTCGGGGACTTTAATAAAGCCTATCTCTCCCGTGAACTGCCAAAATACAGACAGCACATCACATGTCCCACCAGAGACAGTAATATATTGGATCACTGTTACACAATAAAGAATGCATATCACTCTGTTCCACGAGCAGCTTTGGGGCTCTCTGATCACTGTTTAGTTCATCTTATACCGACCTACAGGCAGAAACTGAAATCAGCTAAACC